GACATCAGTGGGAGTTTGGCTGTGATTTGAGGGTAGTAAGTGGTCCTAGATGTATACCCATCCATATGGACCATAATTAAAAATGGAACTTGGCCCTCTCAACATGCCTGACCTATGCAGTCACATTGCTGGCAGGTGCAGGTGAAGTGTTTAGTCATTGACCTACTTATATTTAAATAGCAATAATGAAACGTGTCTGCAAGTATAAAGGAAGACTGATGAGATCATGCAGTTTTATTTGCTTTGTTTGTTCAGCCTCAAGATTATAAAAACATTACTGTAGGACTCAAAGTTGTAGAGCTTATTATAGATAAGGTAGACCTAGAAATCTTGCATGTGTACTTGTGCCCCTCACCAGGAAATGTTTAGAATAAAAAGAAAACTTGTTCTTTATGTGTTTTCTGGGCAAGAAAAGATAATACTGACTGCACTGGCAATTGATAAAGAAATGGCTTTTACCTTGAGTGAAAATCACCCATAGTATAAAGGGCTAGCTGAGGTTCTCCATACTTCTTCAGCCCTATACTGGGGCTATCCAGGAGAACTATGGGCAGAGTGGCTATATAGGAGTCTCTATGCAAGTGCATATAGGCTGGTGCAGAGGGTTGCAACTGGGAACAAACATGGATCTAGTGGCTCCAACACACTGCAGAAGAGGTACAGAGGTGCTGTGTCAGTTACTCCAGCCCCAGGCTGGAACAGTGGCTGCAGGTAGGGCATTCCTTCTACCAATCCATAGTTTGGCCTATAGAATGCCCATCTCCTTCAAATGGTCTGTTCTTTTTTTCACAGAAAGCCTGATATGGGAAAGGTGATTTCATGTCACATGAAGAAGGGATTTGTAACGTCTTGACAAATGGATAAAAGCAGTTTCTTGGTGTCTTCTTATTTCCTCATTCTGTCTTGTCACTCCTTTGGTCTTACTCCTTCTGCCTATATGCAGTATGTCTTTAAAGTGGGAGGAAAGTTCTAGCACTAACATCTCTTTACAGGCAGCTGAGTCAGTTCAGAGTTTGCCAACTCTATCTCTAATACTCTGTAAATTTAAGAAATGGAGTGACTTTACAGCTGGTAAATTAAACTGGAGCTTTGGTGTCTGAAATTCTTCATTCATCCACAGAATAAGCAGTAGCAATGCAAGATACTGCCTTAGTGATGTGCTATAGCCCTGACCTGAAAGTACTATGACTATGGGTAAGAGAGTACCTTATTCTCTATATCCAGGAATTCTTGGCCTCTCTGCTAAGAATACCAAGAAGGATGCCGAACGTGGTATGACATATGTTCCTTTGGAATTGAACTGAAAGCACCAATTTGTTTCACATAGGGTACTAAAGAGTCATATAACAGTAATGACTTGTAGTCATTATCAGGCTGACTCAGGATAGAACTGGTGAAAGACCAAATCCCTGAAACTCCCATCCCTCCAGAAGGATTCTAATAGTATAAATCAAACATTTCCCCACAAGTTCAAAATTCTGTACGTATATAATTTTATAAAAGAAAATATAGTGTAACTATTAAAATTTCCATGGGGAAAAATAGATGGATTCCCTTGAATAGATCAAGCTGTATAAACTCTTTTGGATTATTGATAACTTCCCCTTTTGAAGGAAATATTTAGACAAAAATAACTATATGTAAGAACCAAAGGTCAATAATTAGAGAAAAGATGAAACAAGGACACAATCATGAGTATTTTAATTAAATGTACGCAGACTTCATCAGAAATGGAAGCTTTTGATGAGGTATAAAAGTACTACAACCATCTCTAATAAATGCTCTGCAACACTATAGTGTAGTGCTTTGGATCATGACAATAGAACATATATATGAGACAAGAGGACAGGCTGTCACTGAGTTGTAAGAAAGCCGTCAATCAGGAAGAGAAATGTTCAGTCCAACAACAAATATAGTTACAGCTCAAGTTGAAAATTCTAGAAATTTGTAGTAGACTAGAGAAGGAAAAATTAGACCAAAATGAACTGCAGGTATAGGTCAGTGTCTGGGAACAGTGATGACACAACACAAGAGTGCTATGACTTTCAGTTGTAAGAAATATGTTAAAGAAATCCTTACATCAAGATGAGAGTGAAAAGACAGTTTACAGGCAGTGCTTAATTTGTAATGAAAGAGGTGCTGGAGCTCAAGCAATTGTTTTACATTCATAACTGATGTAACAAGCCCAGAGGTGCTGGGGCTATGAACTGCTGAGCCTAGAGGTGCCGGGCCTCAGCCATGGCACAAATTAAGCATTGTTTACAGGAAATAGTAAAGCATCAACTAATGCCATAGTGTAGATGCTTCCTACATCTATGGAAGGTTTTTTTCCCCATAGATGTAGTTAATCCGCCTCATAGAGAGATGGTAGCTAGGCAAACAAAATAATTCTTCCATCAACCTAGCCGCATCCACATGGGCAGGGGGAGGGGGAGGTTAGGTCAACTAACTACGGCACTCAGGACACAACTTCTTTCATACCTTGACTGAACTACATCGTTCATCTGATTTTTTTTCAAGTGTAGACCAGGCTTCAGTCATGTCTAACTGCTCCCTTCACTTTTCTGACACTCGTCTTGGTGCCTTCTCTTGTGCTAGCCCTCTGCTCAGAGCAACTTCCTACATCTTGTGTGCCAAGTGCCCTCTCCTACCTCTTTAAAACCTAATTGTTTTGTGAAGTCTCAAAATGTTTATCTCCTCCCCAATGTATTTTCTTAGCTTGTGTGTGTGATTTGTTGTTCTCAGTATGGCTCTTTGAATTAGATAGCATGCTCCTCAAGGTAGGGACTTTGGAGAGAGAGAGAGAGAGAGTGTATGACACTGTATGTTGAGATAACAAAAGAGGGAAATTGCAGAGTGTGCTGTAGTACAAATGATCAATAGAAAATATGAACTCCAAACAGCAACATTGCTTTGAGACAAATTTATCATTCTGCCACCCCCCTGCCAAAAGAACACAGAAAATGGCCATCAAAGAACAAAAGATAGAGCAATGCCTGGAAAACATAATCTTTCATGGATTTCCCACTGAGGGGGAAATATAACCTTTCATGGGTCCCCACTGAGACCTACCTGCAGGCCAAATTTTTTCAAACTTGGGAGCTTCGAGCTAGACATCTAAGCAGTGGTCTGGTGTTTTGTTTTGTTTTTTTGAAGGGGAGACAAGATTGGTTGTTTTTTTCCAAAGGTGCTAAATACTTACAGCTCCCACTGAAAACAATAAGAGCAAGTATTCAGCACCCATGATGGGGGGGAGGAGGAGGTGGCAGAAATAAGTTACTTAGGGCTAGATTGATTCACATAGAAACTTAAGCCTGGCAACATTGAGCACCATCACCCTTAACTTCAGGTGTCTAGAAAATCACTGGGATTCACAAAGTCTGAGTTAGGCACCTTATACAATTAATGGGGACCTCAGAATGAGATTTTCCAAAGCCAAAATGCTAGGTGGCTCCTTGCCTAACCAATGGAAGATGCCAGGGCAAGGGTGTTTGCTAAGTCCCGCCCTTCTCAGGGAGTTTGACAGCTGGCTGCAGGGAGGTGCCTCCCTCTGCTTGGGATTCTCAGCTGCAAACCCCCTCTTGGAGTTAGGCACATATGCTGTTTTTTTAGAGGATGTAGTCTTCCCTCATAACTTGTAGCCTAGTGGTTAGGGTACTCAAGTGGGAGACCCCTGGTTCAAATCCCTCCTGTGCCTGAGGAAGAGAAGGGATTTGAATAGGGATGTGCCACCTCTCAGGTGAGTGCCCTAGTCACTGTGCTATGGGATAGTCTGATGTGGGGAATCCCTCAATCTCTCCTGTTGAAACGGTTTCTTCTCCCTCCTCCCTCTGTGCTATTTTGTGTAAACTTGCCTATAGAGGCCTGATTTGGTAGGCAGGCTCTGAGCATGCTTGCTAGATTGGGCACCACAGGTGAGTTAGGCAGAGAAAACCTGTCTTCCCCTGGTTTGTGCATCAAACTGGGGCGTAGGTGTCCAAATGCCTGATGTGAGCCTGCAGTCCGCAGACACAAGTGAAACACTATGAGCATTCTGAATTATTTATTTGTATTGTGGTAGTGTCCCAGAGCTTCCTGGCTCTTAGCTGTGGTCCAAGTGAAAAATTCTCTAAGTTGTATCTGTTCTTATCAGTTTAATATCTTATTAAGTGGCTGCAGCTGTCAGAGGATAAAAACCTTAATGTTCTTAAACATGGAAGTACAACAAGACATAGAACATACACTGATTTTAATAAGCTTAAAAATGGCACACAACAAGTGGCTTCTCTCATCTTTTGTTTAATAAAAGCCTATTTCTCATCTGCTGCTGGATTGTTTCCCACTCTCAAACTTGTACAAAGGTGCAAATGTTTCATGTCAATACATGTTGTATTTTAATGACTTGATTTTTCTGTTATATATATATTTTAAAACCCCAATACCCGAAGAGATTTATGTAGAGAACTAGATGTCAATGTGATCCACTTGTGCCTGCTGGCTTGACCCACGTGCTATGGGGTTGGAGCTCTCCCTGCACACACACTCTGTTTTAAGTAGGAAGGACTTTTCATTTCAGTTGCGGTTTGCAGTATTCTTGGAACAGTGTTGGTCCCAGGATAGTAAAAAGACCAGGTGGGTGAGGGAATGTCCTTTAATGGACCAGCTTCTAGTGAGAGAGAGAGAGACAAGTTTTCCGGCGAAGAAGAGTTCTGTATGGCTGGAAAGCTTGTCTTTCTCTCAAAAGCTGGCCCAATAAAGGACATTCCCTTACCCAGCTGTCTTTCTAATTTAAAAGCAGCCTGCTGTTAAGGAAGCACCATCAGGACCGACCCCAAGTGAGTTAATCTGATTTTAACAAGGAGGCATAACTCACTGGAGGAGAGGAATGTTCTGCGAACCGCTTTCACTGGCTCTCGGAGGCATAGCAGCCTGCAGTTGCCTCCAGGCCCGCTAGAGGCCGCGGCGCCCCGCTATCTTGCTCGCTCCCTGTGTCACATGAAACTCACATTTAATTCAACGTCCTCAAATGACCCTCCCCGGCGGGTGCCTGGGCCAAGCTGGTGACTGGCCGGTGGGTGAAGCCGCTTCAGGAGCCGGGGTTGGGTGTGGGCTGAGGCCGGGCTCAGTGGTGGCTCAAGTGCCCGCCTTCGGCTCGGGGCGGCTGCGGGGAGACCAGTTCGGATCCCGCGGGCGGGGCCGGCAGCCTGCACCGGTGGGCGGGTGCTGCCTGCGAGCGCTCCCTGGGGCATGTAAGCGCTCCGCGGCACGAGCCCCGGGCGGGGCCGGGAGGGCAGCCCTGGCCGGCTGCGTGCGTGTCTGGCCGGCGGGGGCCCCGGGAGGAGCTCCGCTGACACGTCAGGGAAGAAGCATTTAACCCCGGCAGCGGGCTCCAGGAAAAAGGAAGAGAAAGTGCAAAGTGGCGGAGGCTCGCTCAGCCCGGCGCTGGGCTCTGGGGTAGGTGTGGCCGCGGAGGAGCCGGGCTGGGGGTCGGGGCAGCCAGGCGGCTTGTGATCCAGCCGCACGTGGCCGCAGAACTGAAGCTGCCGGGACCTTAGGCTGCTGGGGCTCTGCTCGGTGCGGCGCTAACCTGGGGAAACGCGGGCCTTGCACCCTGCTCGTTTGTACTTAGAAATAAGTAGGCTTTTAAAAAATCCTGCCTCCCTCTTCCGCAGGAAGCCCGAGCTGCTCGGGTGCACATAACGCTCGCGTCGGGGGGCTAGGAACTAGCTCAGAGTTCCGGAAGGAAAAAGTGCTGTCTCGGTTATTTAATCCTCGAAAGGGAATATTGCGAGGAAGTTGCCCGGTAGAAACGCCCTGTATAGGCGCGTGGTACGTATCCTGGTCTATCACCGGCATTAGAAAGCGTGCGGCGGTACCCTGTGCTCAGCTGCGCATTTCTGGCTTTGCATTCTTCAGAGGAGTTGTAGTGACTGGTCAGATCAGCTTGTTTTCAGGTTCCTCGCGCGTCTGCCCATGTTGATTATAAAAGAAATAACGTGATGGGTGAGAGGAGAGAATAACGAGGAGAAAATCTCAGGGCAAGATCATTTTCCTCCAGAGTGTAAGCATAAGGCTCTACCTTTCCGTTCTTATTACGCTTCAATGCCATGTCTCTTTGGAACAGTTAATCTGTTTGTGTCTTTTAAATGGGCACAGCTTTAGGAAAGGTATTATTGTTTTGCAGTCTGTGCATGCACTTTTGTAACATTCTGGTGCAGTGTTTGCAATCTGAAGGCTGCAGCACTTTGCATGAGAGAAAGCTGATTAAAAGTGAAAGAGGAATGCAAAAAGTAAACTATACAGTGAAAAGTAAAAGTATGCTTCTAAAAATTCATTGTTTTAATAACTTTTTAGTAAACCTGATAGTCTCTTCGGGGCCTGTTCCTATTCTTATAGCCAGTGAGTATTCTGCCATCGACTTAAATACAGTATAAAGTGATTGGTTCCCAGATGAAAGTCTGCTATCTGTGATGTGGGGTCTGTTGGACCTTCCTGTACTAGGTTGGAATGAAATCTTTCTAAAAGTTTATCCGGCTCAGTTGTACCTAACCCTTGTGTCTTAGAATAGTGAATTGAATTGCAATCCCTAAAATGATTCATATAGTAGGCTTAAAAAAGAGACTCATTTTAAAAGGACTGTCAACTTTAACAAAACTCACTAACAGGAAAAAAATCTATTTTCTTTTAAAGTTTGTCCTGAATTGTTAAATCCCTTAACAATCTCTAAATAGTAGGACGGTGGACAAGAAACGTAATGAGAGCAAGGGAGACTGTCAGCTTGCAACAGGGGCAGAGAGGGCCTACTCTCTCTGAAATGTACCTGCTATTTTTACAAAAACCACCTAAAATTACACTAACCAAAAGAAGTTAATGAGCAGAAAAATTCTCTATTTTCCTCTTTGCTTACTGTGTGCATTTGACAGCACTTTGGCCCCAATCTTGTAATCAGATCCATCTAGGCAGTCTTGCACTCACATGGATTCAATGGCAGGATCAAGGTTTGTGTATGGTAGTTTCAGTTCCTCCTTCTCCTCTGTGTGGTCTGTTAGCAAGGGAGAGACTGAAAATATCTTTATAAAAGGATCTGATTACAAGATTGGGGCCCAAGTGCTGTCAAATGCACAGAGTAAACAAGCAGAAAAAATTGAGAAATTTTCTGCTCATTAACTTCTTTCAGTTAGTGTAATTTTAGATGGTTTTTGTAATAATGATAGGTACATTTCAGGAGAGTAAACTTTCTTTCCCTCCCTCCAACCAAGCTAACAGTGTCCCTTGCTCCCTTTAAGTTGGTTGACCTACTATTTGTGTACCTCACCGGATCTTCTCCCATATGTCCAATGTTTAGGTTGGCTGGTTGGGAGGTTTTTGGGGTGTGATTTGCAACTGTAGACAACCCCAATGTTCTGATTCCACTACATGATTCTGAATAAATATTGGTGCCTGGTGAAAGCAACAGACATTTGGGAGGTAGGGCGTGACTAAATTCAGGGCAATTGAGAGAGACTGAGCCTCAAAGCCTTAAGTGAATAGTGGCCCTTACCTTGCTTTCATTACCTTCCCTCTGAAAGACACTAAGCAAGTTAAAACAATATGGGGCTGTATTATCTTTTTTAGGTAACCACAGGGTTAGAGGGAGAAGGATTTGCATCCCTCTGACTCTCTACATCTCCTCCTTCTACCCCATGGAGACCTCTTCTGCACCAGGTTGGGGCGGAGTGGAGACAAGACAGTATTACAGCGGTGGCTAAGCCACCCTTCCGCACAGAAGGGGAAATCCACTTGCAGGGGGTTGCTTTCTGTTCAGATGTGGTGAGGAACAATCTCCGCCTCTGAGATGAATATTGTTTAGGAGTCAGATGTGTGTGTGGGGGGGTGGTACTCTTCCAAGCTCCACCTACAAAACAAGCTTCACTCACTGCTCATAGCAGATATGGCAGCTATTCAAAATACGAGGAGCCCAGAATGCGCACAAGTTTCAGCTCCCCCTCAATGGGGTCCAAATACATTCATGGGCCCTGCTGAGCTTCTCACACTTGGCTTCTCTTTGATGGGCCTTGACTGGACTCTGCGAGACTGCTTGGGTTTGACTCCTTGATTTTGGAGTGTGTATGGGAAAAGTGGGGGGTACTCCCCCAAGCCCATTCACTTGTGGAACCAACGTGACCTGTTGCTCAATAGACTGTGCAGATCCTTGTAGTAAAATTTTCACTTTCCTTTCTTACATGCTTTGATGAGCAGTGGAATAGCTAATCCTTTCAATGTCAACACTGTTATCATTGGGCATCTGAGTTAGCCCCTAATTTTCAAATTTTGCGAACAAAGGCGGACATCACTGTATCGACTACACTTAGTTTGTCTTTGAGGCTGTCTCAGCAACTATAAAAGCTAGAGATTTACTTTTTAAAAATTAAACTTGGATTTTGGAGAATAAGAGAGCAACATGAAAGAGATGTATCAATGCATACTGGCTGAATCTCAGCCCTGATTTTTTTCCTCAGAATATTGAAGAATCCCATCAGTAATCAAAAGAAGTCTAATCCATACCTTAGGTTTTTCCTAAACCATCTGTCATTGTGGTATGTAAATGATGTACAAAAATTAAAGGTAGAAACTAACGTTATCTTAATAGTAACAGTCTTGCTTGCCAACCCTTGTTCTCTGAAGATGCGGTTTTCAAAGGAGCCTAAAGAAGTTAGGTGCCCAAATACTATTGAACTGCTTTAGGTCCTGTGATAATCTGAGTCTTTGTATGTATTTGGGTAAATCAGTTAGACTATCTACTGGCAAAATCTGCTGCAAGTTATTCACTAGCCTTATTTTCTACTTATACTCGTTTTTAACATAGACCAGGGGTTCTCAAACTGGGGGTTGCAAGGTTATTACATGGGAGGTCATGAGCGGTCAGCCTCCACACCCTAATTCCACTTTGCTTCCAGAATTTATAATAGTATTACATATAAAAAAAGGTGTTTTTAATTTATAAGGGGGGTCTCACTCATAGGTTTGCAGTGTAAGAGGGATCACCAATACAAAAGTTTGAGAACCACTGACCTAGACCATGATCCTGCAATCAGATTCACATAGTTGGCCCTTTTTAGTGTGTCTTGTCTAAACAAGCAGTTAATACATGTCAAGCTGGGGTGCAAATCTAGAGCGCTGTAGCGTCCTGTGCATGTACTGTCCATGTGGCACTTGCTACTATCCAGTAAAAGTTCCCTAGTGCACATTGACATAATAACTGCAGTACGTCACTAGCGAACTTTTAGTGTCCAGCAAGCTGGGGCGCTAACTGTCCTTTTCAGAGGGTAGAAGCTCAGCCCTTTCTGAAAACCCAGGCCCTCTTAAGGTGCCTCAAGATGAACATCCAAAAACTGAAGCACCCAAAATGATGAATAACTCTGAAAATCTTGATCACTGTGAATTTTGTTTATAGGCTAGTACAGGGGTTCTCAAACTGGGGGTTGGGACCCCTCAGGGGTCATGAGGTTATTACATGGAGGGTTGTGAGCTGTCAGCCTCCAGCCCAAACCCTGCTTTTCCTCCAGCATTTATAATGGTGTTAAATATATAAACATGTTTTTAATTTATAAGGGGGGTTGCACTCAGAGGCTTGCTATATGAAATGGGTCACCAGTACAAAAGTTTGAGAACCACTAGTAGAACTGGCACAGATGGTCTAAACAAACAGAATGTTTTGTGTACGTGTAAGGTTACCTCTCCTTAAATATTAAAGTTATAGAGCATAATGCTTTTTTCAGTTTAAAGTAAAATTATGTGTGCCTGCTTATCTTGGTGTGTGAAAGTGACCTGCAAAGCAAAAACTCTTGCTTTGTCATAAAGAAGCAGTGAAGGGTTAAATAATATCTTAAAGCTTAATTTATTTTAAATAAGCTCCCATCAGCTCCTCACTTTACCTAAGATCTTTCTTTGGGGAGCCTTTAATAATTAGATCACCTGTAACCTGCATAGTACCTCTCCCCATCTTAGACTAACTGATCATCCACTTCCCACCACTCCTGGGGAGCACGAAAAGCTGCCACTCACGCTACAGCCTGATAATATTCATGTCCTCCATGGTGAAAAGATCCTCTAACAACAGGGGGACCTGATAGTCCTGATATTTTAAATGGTTTTTTTTTTTTTAAAGTCAGAAACATCTTTTTTTTTTCTTTTTCTTTTTGGGGTGGTGACAGGGAAGGTGAGAAAGGAATAGGAGTTTGTGTGCATTTGAATAAAGGAGCATAAACTTGTGTGCTCCCAGCGCGCCCCCCCCCCCCCCGCGCACACACACTTTGGAGTTCCCCTTTTCAGTTTCAAGCAATCCAACAGAACTATGTGCCTAGCCAAATTGTACCAGAAAATTTTGCTGTTTCAAAAGTTGCATAATTTCTTGGAATATTGCATTCCTTTTTGGAAAAGTGAAAGGGATATCAGAATCTGGTTCTTTGATGGGC